TTTTTTGGACGCCAAAGATGCATTTTTGGTGAGCTGTGAAGAGCTTTTGATGATGCAACACTATAAGAACGTCGTCTAGGTGCTGAAGATGACTTTGAAGATCTGTGCTGAAGATAAGAATGTCATCGAAGTATACGTCTACGAATTTTTCAATGAATGGTCGGAGAGCTTGATTCATGACGCGCATAAATGAGCTTGGTGCATTGGATAGTCCGAAAGGCATAACCATCCATTCAAAAAGATCCTCACGAGTCTTGAAAGATGTATTCCATTCATCACCAAGTCGAAATAGAATTTGGTGGTAACCACTTTTGAGATCTAGTTTGGTGAAAAGTTGAAACTTGGCCGATTTAGTCTAGAAGGTCATCTAAACGAGGGATTGAAAAACGGTATCGAATAATGATTTTTTTGATAGCTCGGTTATCGACGCACATACGCCACAACATATTTCTTAGGAATAAGAAAAACGGGTACTACAACATGGCTTAATCTTTCTCGAACATATCCCTTGAGAAGGAGAGCTTCTACTTGGCGACGAACTCGTCATGTTCTTGTGGGCTCATACGACAGTGCGGACGGTTTGGTAGAGCCGTGTTGGGCATGAGATCAATGTGATGTTGAAAATCATGAAGCGGAGGAGTACCAGGTGGTAACACACCCTTGACGTTCTTGAGGATAGCTCACAACTGGTGGTGTAGCGTCAAAAATAGTAGTAGGCGTGGTTGTTGTTGGTGAAGCAATGACAGCCAAAACATATTCACAATCACGTAAATGTTCACTAAAGTCAGACTTCAGAAGTAGGAGTCTAGATTGTGAAGTTTTTTTAGCTGTAGTTGAGCGCGGACTGATTGACAGAGTCCGAGAAGACTCCACTGGTTTCATAGATGGGCGTAGAGTAATAATACGATCACCACAGAGAAATGTATATGTATTATTTTTTTCTTTGTGAATCGCGTCGCGGTCGTACTGCCATGGGCGGCCTAATAGGAGATGACATGCATCCATGGATACCACATTGCAGTTAACTTCATCTTTGTAGGAGCCTATAAAAATAAAATAAAAACCCGTGATTGTTTAGCCACTATAATTTTGTTTTGTTGTTCAGCCATGTGAGTTGATAGGGTGATGGATGAGGTGTTTTCTGAGCCCGAGTTTCTTTACTGCTTCTTTTTAGACGACATTAGCGCAACTTTCAGAATCAATGATAAGCTTGAAAATTTTGTCGTTGATAGTGCAGGTGAAGCAAAAAAACGTATTTTGTAACCGATTCATATGTTGAACGCGGAGCAACACAACTACGACGAAGGACCAAAATTTGCTTTAGAGGACCAATATATCCTTCAGTAATGTCACTGTCATCAGTCGAAACGACGGTCACCTTCACATGTTGTTTCTTTTATTAGTAAGCCACGCTTATTTTTTTAGGACAAGAGGTTTGTATGTGTCATCTTTCTCCACAAGAGAAGCATCATTGTGCGTTCGTTCATGCTGGTCTGGAGGAAGCAATAGCATCACTATTATTGCTTTTTGACCTCCGTCCGTTTGGTTTGCTGCAGTGTCAGAGGATTGACCAAGATTAGTCTCGGTTTCTGGAGGGAATTTTCGACTGCGTGTGCTGGAAGATGTCCAGTTAGAGCGGAGTTGTACTTTCATCGCAAGAGAGCATTGGTAAGCTTCAGAGACGATAGTTGGATTAAACTGCAGTAGAGCGTTCTGTAGTTGAGATCGTAATCCACCGATGAAACGTGAGATCAGGTGATCTCAGTTACTGCTAAAGGAATTCGAGCTGCCATGTGGAAGAAACCGGTTGCATACTCGTCCACCGAACGATTTCCTTGTCGAAGCTTTTGCAGTTTGTTGTACAAGGTACATTCGTAATTGTATGGGAGAAAATTATGACGCATATGCTTAGTTAACCTAGCCCACAAATCGATGCGAGGTTTATTGGCTTGTCGACGAGACTCTTTAAGTTGTTGCCACCATTGGCTCGACCTTTGAAACGTGATGCCACCAGAGAAACTCGCATATCATCCGAAACTTGTTTAGAAGTCCAAGAATTCTTCGACCATGTTAATCAAATCAAGAAATTCTTCGAGGTTGAGTGTTTCCAAGAATTCTGGAATATCATATCGAAAGCTGGATTCCCATCAAGGAGGAGGGTTACCGATCACCATGTCTTATATGTTGCCACGATCATCTTCGACTTGTGCTTCAGAACCACTGAGATGTTGTTGTTCTTGACGTTGTTCAGCGAATAGATTGTCAAATCTCTCATCGGCATCAAGATCATCTTGGCGGGGTCTGTTGTGTATGTTGCGTTGAGGTTGATTGTGTTCGTGCTGATGTTGTATGACCGTAGTGAGAGTGTTTTCCCACAGCTGTTTGAAGAACTGCTTAAAAGCCCACCGTGAAGGTCTCTAGGTTTGACGAATTTCGTCGAGTTGTTCTTTGGGGTTAATCTTGCGAGGAGCCATGAAAACGAAGAATCAAGTCCTAATTAAAAATCTAAGACTTGATGGAATCTGATATCAACTTATGTAGCGTGAGCTACAATAAACAAAATGGCCATATTTAATTTAAGAATTCTTAGGATCAAAATCTTCTTATAATTGTTGAAAACATTAATTTTCTAGCCAATGCAAGCTAGAATGCAAGAATCAAGAACATCAAAACTCTCTTAATTAATAACCAAAGTAAAATGTATCTCTTACAAGTTAAGAAGATCAATATCTACTATAATTAAAAGGGCTTATTAAAACCTTTTGAGAGTGTCCACGTTACCATGAATAATCAACCAATAAGAGAGTTTCTTTTGTCCACGTCATGTCTGTGTCATCAGTCCAATTGGGCTACCTTTCTTTTAGTTTCGGGCCACGATTTTCATGAACCGGCCTTTTACGTAAAGAGAAGGGATCCCCAGACGAAATCCACTCTCCTCTTCCTTTCTCGATTCCTTTGCGTTTCAGATCCCCTCCTTTGATTATCATCTCTTCAATCCGTTTCAGCTGAAATTCTCCCTTTAATCTATGAATTTCACGGGGAAAGCCACCACCCTGGAATCCCATCTCATGGAGCTCGGAAACTCAAACAAGTCACGAGTGGTTCAAATCGTCTTCTTCATCATCCTCGAGTAGGGTTTCAATCCAAGTCGCGGGGGCTGAACGGATCCTAGATAACCCACCTCGACTCACCTCTCCACCTCCTCCTTCACCGCCGTCGCCGCTTCCGCTGCCGTCGACTTTGCCGTTCAACATTTATCTTCCCAACTCCTCCCTGTAAATCAGTAGTTGTTTCTCATACATTTACTTTCATTTATTATCAAGGGTTAGAACCCTTTCTCTTTTTTTTTCCCTGATTTATTGACAATTGGTTTATATATAGAGTGAGCGATGGCCAATCTGATTCTCACTTTCTCTCTTCCATTAGGTATCTAGCTTATTGCTTTCTGCCTCCCCCCCCAAAAAATGTGTGGAGCGCTTCAGATTTGTTATCTTCAGGTCATTATAATTTAGTATTGTCATCGTTGTATCTTTTTGAATGAACATGTAATTGGGTTGTTTGTGTGTGTATCTAAAGTTTGTAGATTGTTGATCACTGGATCAACATGGGTTTGTATGGAACAAAATAAGGTAATCTATGACAATCTACCTCCTCCACACTCAAAAAAATTCTTAGAAAAATCATTTGTTGGTTTTCATCTCAAACAACCAGAAGAGAATGTTAATCTACTTTCTTTCCATGTTCTCATTTTATCAGTATATTTGTAAGGCGGTGAGTTTTTATATCGGTCTTGGTGATGTAGAAACCTAATCACCCGCCTTCAGGTCAAAGCTATTCAGTTTGTCCTCCCCTCCTTTCTATCAAAACCAGATGTCTCGTCCAAACCCTCGGATTACCGTGAATGGGAATATGCCAAAATGGCACCGTCTCCTGGCTCCAGTAATTTTTAGCTTACTAAAAATTTGACCATCTTTGCATCACGTGACTTTTACTTACTATGCTTTAGTGTTTTTTATATGTTTTTGTTTTGTTTTTTTCACTGCAGAGAAGTTTGTTGTTCTATCGTATAACATATTGGCGGATTACCTTGCGAATGATCACTGGAGAAATCTTTATTTTCATATATGGAGGAATGTGTTGAGTTGGGGAATGGAGGAAGAGAAAGATTGTGTTTGATCTAGGCCTATGGTCTGCTGATATAATGTGCCTCCAGGTTTTAGTTTCTTCTTGCAACTGTCTATGTATGAGAGACTATGAAGAGAAAGATGTTTATCTTTTTCATATGTTCAGTAAACTAATATTACTTTGCATATATCAGGAAGATGATATTTTCAAGACTTGGAGGAAGAGTTAAAGCACCGAAGATATAGTGGCATCTGGAAGGTACGTATAAGTTCTGAATTTGTTGGAAAAAAAAACTTTTAGGGGTTATCTATCTTTCTTTAGAATTGGCATCATACGCATATATTTTTTTGTGACAGTCCTGACTGAGTTTGATTCGCTTGGACTAAATATAAATGGTGTGTGTCAAGGTTTGATAAGGAGGTTTAAAATGTGAGGATAACTCTGTTTTGTACATAACTGTAGATGCGGACGGGTAATGCTGTTGGTGTGCAATCTTTTGGCGATCAAATAGGTTTGATTCCCTTATCCCTCCTCGCGTGCTTCAGTATAGAATGTTGTTTGGGTTTCTCATTGTCACTGTATTAAATTCAAGTTGGTTCACGAGGAAAGCATCCAGTTCAATCAGCTTGGTATCCAAGATAATGTTGCTCAGATATGTGTGCTTGAGGTAATATGGATACATTATGTTTTTTTTTTTGGATACATTATGTTGATAGTGACTTTCGTACCTTCCCTAAATTAGAAACTTTATTCATGTAGGCGTCGCTGAATTCACATGCCAAAGAAAATGAGGCATCTCCATCTGAAACCGCCAGCTCAAGCTCAAAATCGACCATGTCAGTGACAGAAATAGAGAAAGAGACTTCTAAGAGACAATGTCATTCATATCAGGACTTGAGAAGAAGTATTCACAAAAGGCAGAACTCAAGCCTTTCTTCGAGAAGCTAAAGGCTTCCATGACTGTCTCATCAAAGGTTGCTTCCACCAAATCCGCACAAGACTATTCTTCTACAGCTAAATCAACCACTGGTAAGCTATCTGATGCCATGACATTCGTGGGTTCAATATTTAGCAAATAAGAAGAGGCAAGTAAGAAACAACTTTGTGTTAACTGTATTATATGATTCCTTTTTTTTATCAAGAATTAAATACATTTCAATGTTTTTTTCTCTGTAGATGAAGAGCAGACTACCCAAGAAAAACTGATGACGAGTCCTAATCAATTTAAAGATCTCAACAGCAAAATCGTGGGAGAAAAGAAAGTGTCATCGACACAAGAAACAGAGATCAAGCAGAAAATCTCAAAGATTGAACAAGTCACAACACAGTTTTTTTTTTTTTCACAACACAGTTTCTTTAGACTGCTGCTTCGTCAAGCTCAACTAAATCTTCATCTACATCTCAGGGGTCTCTCAGCAGTCTCAGAAGCAGAGCATGGAGCATGGCCTCATCTGAGAAACAGAACGCTGCTTCATCTCAGCAGCAGAACGTTGATTCATCTCAGCAGCAAAACAGTATGGGTAAGCTCAAGACCAATTGAGAAGCTGTACGCGGAAGTAATCAGCAAGTATGACAATCCAGTAATGCCAAATATTTATTATAATAAGTAGCTAAACTATCAGATTACTTTTTGGTTATATATAAAACTAAGATCGGTATGGCCAGCAGTGTCTAGCTAAAGTCCGACGTATGCATGTAAACATCATGATTTGTCTCTTTGTTGTAAACAAAATACTACACGACCCTGATAACTAAATGGACATCAACATAATAAAATATAAAATATTGAAACCTTAGAGGCTAGAGATATATTCCTCTCATTCTCTATCACTATTCTTCTTTTGTAGCCAAATATAATACATATCTTTTAAAATATGTATATATATGCCTATATGTAGTAAGTTACACTCTCAATATTAATAAATGTTTAACAATTAAATGCAAAAACACTTCAACAATAGTAACTTATTAAGTTCATTTTACGGAAAAGAGATAAATAAAAAGTAAAGCAATGCATTAAATATAAGATAAAAAAACCAATATATTTGCAACATCTTTTTTTGACATAGAAAAAATGTTTCAAATATATTTGCAACAAACTTAAATTGGATTTAGCACATCAAATTCTCTACTACTTAAGCCAATTTTAGCATTCTTTGTGTGCATTTCATATGATATTTTTTTCAGATAACAATGTAAGATGTTTATCTACCTAAATGAAAATCATTGTTTTAAGTTTGTTTAAAATTTTAAAGCATCATATTTAAAAAATAAAACTGAAAAAATAAAATATCTCAAAACTTATTTTGATTTTTACTCTAAACCTTTTTAAAAACTCTTTATCAAAATAAGTCAACCCTAAAATTATGTCCAAAGTTAGTCAAAACATAATTTTTGGAAACGAAAGAAACTAAATAGCCAATGGAGGCTTGTGGTTGTGCCACTGAAACAAATCATCATATACAGTATTATTAAACTAAAAAAAAATTAAGATATGTTTATGGTTTTTTTTTACATTTAGTAAATAAAATTATAACTATTTTTAGAAAATGTATTATATCCAGTCTATCATATATGCCATATATTTTTCCATTTTTATTTATTATGTTATACAAAATAAGTTTGTGTAAAGATAAATTTAGGTTAGAACATCACTTATTCATGAATTTTGAGAAGACATTAGACCATCATCAATGGTATACTCTATATTTTATTTTAAAATAGAATATTATTGGAGTATAACCCATTTTTTACTCTATTATAGAGTTAAAAATAAAGTGGGATTGAAATACTTAAAACTTAAAACTCTGTTTTAAAGTTAAAAATAGAGTGGAACTAGAGATGCTTTTGCAATTTTCCTCTCGCTATTACGATTTCATATTAAAATGTTTAATAATTATCTTGAAAGTCTAAAGTAACAATGGAAGTATGTTTCTACTCTAACAAACAAATAATGTCAGAAAGTGATATATTTTCTATGCAATGCCTTTTTTGGATAACTTTTTCTACACAATAGCAGTGACTAATATATCTGCATGTGTGTTATACACATCTATCTAAAGTACTTTTATTTGGTATCCAAACATGAAATATTTAATTTTACATTTTTATAATAAATACTTATTTACATTAATATTGAAAATAAATTATAGTTTCAAAATTCAAATGGTTATTTACCTATTCTTCAATAATATTTTAATAATTAAACTAGATGACATTTAAAATATATAAATTTTATAGACAGATAAACCGCGCGTAGCGTGGTTAACTCTCTAGTTTATATTAAGAAAAAGATAGATCTAAGAGGATTCCAATCTAAATCTTCTTTGTCTTAAATTATAATCCTTTATCTATATAAGAATAAAACTAATATAAACATAATTAGAAAAGTAAAGTAAAAACCAGAACTAAATAATAAAAGGGTTTTCACGCTGCATCAGTAACGTATTCGTTTATTCAATGACCTTGGAATTATATAAAATATAGTCAACTAAACTTGGACGATTCTTTTAATTATTCAATGACCTTGGAATTATATAAAATAGTCAACTTGGACGATTCTTGTATGATAAAGGAAAGAATGAACACTAAAATTGTTAGTACAAAACAAACACATTCAAAGCGAATATATTAATCTATATTATAATAGTAGACTTTCAAGTCTCCACAACGCGCTACGTCAACAGTTTTGTGAATCCCATAGGTATTTTTTAAACAACCATAGTTTTGGTAAGGTGATAATAAATAATAAAATACACTTTAGCCAAGTAGTATAAGGTGTTTAGTTAAGCATGCAAGATCGTGGGTTCAAAACACGCAGATATCATGTATTTTTTCTTTTTTTTATTTGAGTTATTATCATATGGCCTTTTTGTTTATAAGGTTTTTATAATTTTTTTTGGGCTTATTCTTTTAAAGATCAAAATAGTTGGATAATCCCTAGAACTTAACAAGTTCAAACCCAAAAATAATTAAAAATAAATCCAAAAATTAACAAAAAAAAACAAAAAAAAAACAAGTCTTACGCGGTTGCCTACGCGGATGGCTTAAAAAGCCTTTAAACTATCCTATTATAATATAGCTCAACACAACAATAATAAAAAATAAATCCAAACACGAACAAACCAAAAAAAAAAAAAGTGAATCTCACGCGGCTGGCTACATGGATGGCTTAATGAGGCTTGAATATTATAGATTAAGAGCTAAAAAATTAAATCATTGCAAATATTTCCTAATATATATTTTCAAAAAATTTGTATGTGAGATAAAATAAAAAAAGCAACGGAAATTAATTATTTTCGTTATTTATTAAATAAATATGTAATTTCTCTTACATTTTAATAACTACTATAATTTCATTGAAAACATTCCTCACCACTGATTCCAGACTCCGGCGAATGAATTCCCACAGTCGATGACGCCATAGATAAAAATGCTACATCATTTATGAAAAAACTCAAACTTACAAAAAAAACCATATATAAAAACCTATTTAATAAAACTTAAACAACGAATATTAACTTAATTAAGGTTATTTTTAAATTGATAAATCGTTTAATACAAATTTAAATACTATAAATATAGAGTTATATCAAGTTTTGACCTACGATATAAAAACTATTTATAGCAAAAAAAAACCTACTTTTACACACTAAAAACTATATTATAGCCTAACTATTCCAATAAACCTTCCTTCGCATATAAATAATATTTAACACATTCCTAATATATTTTCAAAAAATTTGTATGTGAAATAAAATAAAATAAACAAAAAAAATTTAAGTATTTCGTTATTTATTAAATGAATATGTAATTTCTCTTACATTTTAATAACTATTATAATTTCATTGAAAACATTCATCACCACCGACTCCAGACTTCAGCGAATGGATTCCCACGGTCAATGACGCCGTAGATAAAAATGTCAAATCATTTATGAACAAAATCCAAACTTACAAAAAACCATATAGAAAAACCTATCTAATGAAACTTAAACAACGAATATTAACTTAATTAAGGTTATTTTCAAATTAATAAATCATTTAATTCAAATATAAATACTATAAATATAGAATTATATCAAGTTTTTACATACAATATAAAACTATTTACAGCAAAATAAAAATAAAAATAGACACCTACTATATTATAGCATAACTATTCATATAAATCTTATTTCGCATATAAATAACATTTAACATTAGATATACAATATTTTCACTTTACATTCTTACTACATTCTTTCCATCCCTTATATATTAATCCTGAAGCATTCATAAATGCACAACCTTGGAGAGCATGCTTACGTGTCAAGTTTACAGAGCTTCTCAGCCTTAATATTTTAATGGACTAACTTTGCTAGGAATGAAATAATGTAACATTTAATTTCTTGCATTTAGGACTATAATATATATACATTTTTAAGGACCAACTCTGCTAGGTATAAAACAATATATTTTCTTTCCTTAAATAAAAGCTACGGAATTAACTAATATGATTAATATATATATATATATATATATATATATATGTAATTAATGATTATGAATAATGCATATTTTTGTGTCCTCTCTCTTTTTTGTTTAATTTTAAATTATTAAAATAAATTAAACAATCACATTAAATATATAATAAAAAAATTAATTTTTTTCTTATAGGTTATATTTTTAATTTTTTAAAACGACCATAAATAACTAAAGATAGTAAAATCCCACATTGAAAATTTTATGATCAATGGTTTAACTTTGTTTTTTTTCAAACAAGATACAAATTATCATAAATCGTATGAATATGAAGTATCATTAGTAGATATTCATATTATAAATATGTTAATTTAAAAATTTCAGTGAAAAGGTTTGAGATTAGTAGATACAAATTATAGTATTCGAAAGAGTTTTGTAGTTTGTTTTATTTGCTTTTTTAACTATCTTTTAGTTTGTTTAGATAATTTAACTAATTTTAAATTAGATTTATTAATAGTTTAAATATTTTGAATTTTTTTGTCAACTTTTAATGTTTAAAAAATATTTTTTAGAATGATTTCAGATATTGGTTACAATCCAATCTAAATTGAATTGAGAAGACCAAATCGAATCCAATCCGATAATTAGTAAAATTCAAATAAGATTTATGATAATAATACCAAAATCTGAAAATACGTCTCAATCAAACCAAAACCGACGAAGTTTCAAACGTCCAGACCTGTGATGATTTAAGATACCAACATTTGTATTCATCATTTTATAATCGATAAATATTGTAGTATTGCAAAATGTTAAAAACCATTTAATGAATTAAGTATTGGTATAAAAATTTCACCCCGCGCATGCGCGCGGATTATCATCTAGTTTCATTATTATTTGGTAGCATTAGAAGAATCCACTAAAACAACAATAAAAAAAATACACGCAAATATAATGATCACGATCCCGCGCTTACGCGGGGAATATGCAACTAGTGTTATAAAAACTTGACTTGAGTTGAGAAATCTTTAGCAGACAAAAAGTCAAAGGAGAATCCATTCAGCATTCATGTTTGGAC